TTGAAAGTGGGTGTGTTTGCATGTGTTTGAACAACCCAAATGATAGTGTACCTAACATCCCCACTAGCTGTTTTTTGTGGTTGGACATTCTGTAAGTCTTGGGGCACCCAAACAACAGGGGATAACATGAATCTTGCTGTTCTCATTCAGGTCCCTCCACAGGCCTGTTAGGGCAGCACTCCTTTATAAATTCTGGATTTTCAAGTAATGTCATCATCTAACAAACAACAGTGTTGACTGAAACAGAATTCTCCAATTTTAAGTTTTGGCAGGGAAGCGTGCCTGCCAGGAATGGGTGTTATTTTTGATGCTGATTAGATGGATGCCTGAAGTAGCCCCAATTTTGCGGTTTGTTTTCGTTACAGGATAGCACTGTTTTAGAGCTAATGGCTTGTTTCCAGAGCGAGCAGAACGTAATTTAGATATTATCACCTCTACGCTTCTGCCATAGCACAGATAGAATGTCCATCTCTAGTAAAACACGTAATTCTGCCTGCAATGGCTGGCAGTTCCTTGGCGACCTTTTAAATTTCAGTCATGTTAGTGTCGTATGGAAATATTTGTGATACATTGGTTCATTATGCATCCTCAAATTTCTGAAATATTAAATTTTTTTTAAGAATCATGGATTAAGCCCAAAGTATGTATGCATGAAATTTAGAATTTATGTATATAGCTCAAACTCCAGAGCATAGTACTTGAAAAAAAATAATAAATAAAGGCCATGGGTTTGATTCCCAGTGAATGTGTGTGAAGTGATAAAAATGAGGCCTTGACTTCAATGTTAATCACAGTAAAGCATATGTCAAAAGCATAAGTGTGACTGTAATATTACTGAGGCTTACTTTTTTAGGACTTAGCAAGTCTCGTTTTTAATTCTTTGCTTCTCTCTCAGGGAAATGTCTTCTATAACAGAGTGATTTCAAGGCTGCAGCAGGAACTGTGGACTGTGCTAGTGTAGAGATTCTTCACACTCTTTGCCAGTGTTCAGGGCTCATAGCTGAAAGGTTCTCGAGTCCTCACTTGACTCTGTGACTCTACTGTAGCATTTCCATACCATCACACTTCTGCTATTTGACTTGCCCACACACAAATCAAACAGTAGACGGAAGTACATTGCTGATAAGTCTTGGTTTGTTTGAGGCTTTTCCACTCCTTTAAGTATGTGGCCAATATGTGGCTCAGAGTCAAAAGGCTCCATTTTCCTGGGAAAAAACCCCCTCTATTTTTTATGCAGTCAGTCATAAACTGTTTCTTACTTTCTTGCAGTCATGCCTTCACCACAGCACTTTGATGGTCATGCCATGGTGTCGTGGAATGATCCTGATATCACCATCGCTGTGCCCTGGTACATCAGCCTAATGTTTCGCACCAGACAGAGCAGTGGAACCGCAACCCTAATGCAAGTCAACGCTGGCGACACATCTCAAGTTACCCTTCTGGTGAGTGTCAGATATAATACAGGTCATTCTCATTTGATGTCAATTAATTCTTATACCATTTCCTAATCAGGCATGCCATTTTAAACCATTTCCTGACTTTTTCTAAGTTAAGGGACAAGTATGTGCGGTTTGAAGTACTTCTGGGAGAGCAGAAAGTGGCCACGCTGGATTTCCCAGAGGTCCGAGTGAATGATGGGGAATGGCACCACCTCCTCGTGGAGCTGAGGAGCAGCAAAGATGGGAAGGACACAAAGTACATGGCACATGTGTTCCTGGACTACAACATGGTCATGGTCAGTTCTGTGGTTACACCGTCTTTACTAAACAGAACTGTCCTTTGATGAAACCTGTTTACTGAAGTCTTCCATGCTTTACAGAAGTCAGCAGAGATTGGAAATGAGCTGCCTGGACTCAAGCTGAGGAGCCTGTTCATTGGTGGACTTCAGGGACAGAGTAACAGCATCCAGCAGGGTTTTAAGGGATGCATGCAGGTGAGGCCTAGAGAAAGCATTTGAATCTTTCACCTTGCATCAGACAGTAGCAGTTGTGAATTATATATGTGACTCTGGAGCACAATGGAGCATGTGACTCTCAATATTTAGATTTTTTTGCACCCTCAGATTCCAGATTTTCAAATAGTTGTATCTTGGCCAAATATTGTCCTATCCTAACCGACCATACATCAATGGAAAACTTGTTTATTCAGCATTCAGATAGTGTATAAATCTCAATTTCGCAAAATTGACCCTTGTGACTGGTTTTGTGGTCCAGGGTCACATATGTGTAATGCACTGATTCTTGGCAAAACAGGTATACAGGACTAAGAAAAAATATAAGCAATTGTTTTGTATATAATATGGAAGTAATTTATGTGTTTACTATTAATATTTAAACTTAATAATTCTTATTAATATATTTTTGTATTTATTAATATTAACATATTTATTATTATAAGCGTTTATCTGTGTTCTAGCACTCAATGTGTCAAGTTTAACTTTGATACATAGACATGTATTATGTTGTTAGACGTATTATAAATACTGACAAGTGCAAAACTGAACCTGGATTAAGCATGAATTCAGAATGCATGATGGACTTTCAGTCCATCCTGTGATGCAAAGCAGAATTTTCAGCAGCCATTACTCCTGTCTTCAGTGTCACATGATCCTTCAGAAATCATTCTGATATGCTGATTTGAAACATTTCTTATCAATGTTGAAAACAGTTGTGCTGCTTAATATTTTTATAGAAACCATGAAACGTTTTTTTTAATAGAAAATAGAATAGAAATACAATCCAATTTATTTGTATAATTGCTTTCCACAATACACATTGTAAAGCAGCTTTACAGAAAGTCATTGTAGCGTATGGACCAATCAAACACACAATTTTTCATTTGATTTAACAAATCAGTTATTCATTAGATTAACAAATCATCACAGTCCCCTCACCCAATAAACTGGATGCCAGGATGTCTGCAACGACATCAGACCCCCCTGGTTACCATGGCAACCCTGACACCAGCTACATTTACGACCTAATGGTTTGTTGTGTGTGTGTGTGTATGTGTATGTTAGACCAGTTTAAGTGTTTATGTAGTTAATAAAGTCTTACTTGTATCACACTTGTTCATTGTTTGCTTATAACTGGAGTCACTTAATCATGCAGATTTATGCTGCAAGCTCTTTGTAGAATTGTACAGTAAGAAAGTTATTTCCCTTAACCAGGAAATTAACGTTCTTAGAATTGACAGACAGTTGACCCTGAGAGGTCAGCTAAATATCTACAGTGGATCTAATTATTTATAATTAATTATAACTAGTTATGATTAATTATTCATATTTCCCCATGAGCTGATTTGCTACATCATTATGTTAATATCTTCATGCTTTATTGCCGCATTTAGCAGATTGGAGCTGAGTGACAATATAGTTTACATTTTGCAACAATACAGTTCAGATATGCTATACAGTATATATCGCCCTACGCAAGTATACTGTATGTGTGGGGAATGGGGATGACGTTGAACATACATATATATTCAACATATCTGGTTTATTGCTGGCCTATCCTGTGGACTGGAGAACTAGTAGCAATACAGCAGGTGAAACTGGTCGACTAGTGTAGTATTTCAGATTAAGCTGGTTTTAGTAAGGAAGACTTGCTAATAATAGTAGGCAGTCCTATCTTCTATGGCACATTTCTACTGTGTCCTGACAACCCTTATCAGGGTTTATATTGCGATAATGACTGGCTGACTTTGCATTATAATTTACGTAATTGCAAGATATGAAGCTGTTGCATTCTGAATGGAATTTAAACACTGCAATGAGATTTTTACATTGTAACATGGAGATTTCTGAAATACTGCTTGTTGATTTCTGAGATGATCTGGAAAAAAAAAAAAGCATAGAACAAAATTGTTTAGTGTGAGATTGTCTGAATTGTCTGAAATTTACATTGCAGTTGTGCAGTGTATCATTGTAAATGATTTGCATTTTGGAAGTCATCTTCATTCCAGTGGTTTGTGTTAGTGTGTGTGTGTGTGTGTGGGTGGGTGGGTGTGTCTGTCATTGTGTTGGCTCTTCTCCACAAAGCAGAGGAAAACAACACAATACACCCTTGTCACAAGTCCGCACAAGCACCGCAGAATCATTACCTTCTCTTTTATTTTCGTTTTCAATCTGCTAAACCCTCTGATCAGCGATGAATATCACGCTGTCTCATCACTTACACATGGGATGTCTTATCCTCTGGTTCCTTACTTATTCTGTTGACATGACTGTCCACTATTAGATTAAGATCCAAACACGCTGCTACCACTTGATGCTGAGTTAATAAGCACCATGTGGCCCTGCTGTCTGCACATTTTAAAGAGAGGGTTTTTTCCCCCCTCAGCCACAGTGTACTGAAATAAGTCCACAATGGAATTGTGTTGACCTCCAACTGGCCTTTTACTGGGCATTTTCAGAACAAAATTGATCAACAAAACATTGAGCAATATTTTGGAGCTATATTAGCACTTTTCAAAGGCCAAAAACATACTTTGTGCAAATGCTTGGCTAAGAAACTGCAAACACGTGGCCACTGAGATGAGATGTCACACTGGATATCAAGTGCGACATCAACATGCAACAGTAAGTAAAAAGTAAATAAAAATTTATTTAAAATTAAATTAAAATGTATTACTATTACCATAAAAGATTTTGGAAATTAAAATTGCATTAAAACATGACACTGACATTGACTGGACGCACAACCTTTGACATCAACAGCATTTTCCCTTATTTATTAGCAGATTAGCCTATTTATTATGCTATTCCAATTATGCATGATGTTATATTATTTGTATTTTACATTTTCCTTGTTGACTATGGCTTTTCTAAATCACCTGCTTTATGTGTAAAGCACAGGATAAACTATGTGTACATACACCTGTAGAAGAGTCCTCGACCACCCAAGAAAATGATGCTTGGGCAGTCAGTCTTTATATGCTTGTACAAACAGGCACAATTATGTTTCTCATCAGTTTCCAGTCTTCAGTCTTGTGTTATTACTTATCTTCTAAAGTCTGCCAACCCTCACATCTAATCTCTTGATCTCTATACCATGATTGATAGGATGGTTTTTACTTGATTTTAATTGATTTGCTTGATGCATTGGTGCTCTGAGAGTGAGATGTTCAGATGATACATTTTAAAATGCACAATCTTTGCAAACAAATATTTAAATAATAATAATAAAAAACAATTGTTTGAAAAATACTTTCACTTTTCAATATAATGTTATAACCAACTATTACTATTACATTCATTTGTATTACATAAATAAATAATCAATAAATTAATTATGAAAGTAGTTGTTTGTTGCAGAAATGCAATATATGTTTTAAAATTTTGAAAAACGTAACAACAAAAATGACTAAATTACAAATAAATATTTCTGCAGGATATGGCCTGCACTATTTGTGTTTTTCAGTTTTAAGTTTTCACCCAATTTGTTATGCTGATAATATAATTTTATTCACACAGAGTGGAAAAACCATGTCCTCGGGGTTGGTGGGGCAGCCCCATGTGCGGCCCTTGCAACTGTGATGTCAGCAAAGGCTTCAACCCTGACTGCAACAAGACTACTGGAGAATGCCGCTGCAAGGTATGAAGATATGATTTTTTTCCCCTCATATTTTACCCAAACTGGTCCGAGCCTTTCAGTCTGGTCCAGATTTGCTGTCCACAAATGTTGATGGATGTTTTAGAGACTATCCTTACATATCTATTGGTAACACTTTAGTATAGGGACCAATTCTCACTATTAACTCATTGCTTATTAGCATGCATATTATTAACATATTAGCTGTTTATTAGTACTTATAAAGCACATATTCTGTATGACCATACTCTACATCCCTAATCCTACCCAATACCTAAACAACTATCTTACTAACTATTAATAAGCAGAAAATAAGGAGTTTATTGAGGCAAAAGTTGTAGTTAATGGTTTGTTAATACCGAGAATTGGACCTTAAAATAAAGTGTGACCTATCTATTTTACACAGGACAACTACTATCAACCAAAAGACAGTGACACCTGTTTCCCCTGTGACTGCTTCCATTTGGGCGCCAATTCACGTACCTGTGACCCAGAGACGGGTCAGTGCCCCTGCAAGGCGGGTGTGATTGGCCGACAGTGCAACCGCTGTGACAACCCCTTCTCTGAAGTGACTAGCACAGGTTGTGAGGGTACGTAATGATTTCCTCCAACTTGCTTTGAGTTTGAATGAAAGATGTGTCCATCTGGCAATGTCCATCTACACTAATGAAGTGCAAAGTGCGTATCCTCATGTGTCCTGTCTTTACTATTCAGTTTTGTATGAGGGCTGCCCAAAAGTCTTTGACGCTGGAATCTGGTGGCCCAGGACCAATTTTGGACGCCCAGTAGCCATGAATTGTCCCAAGGGATCTATTGGTGAGTGATACTGGCCTTGTTATTGTGACGGATTGACAGCGAATATTTAAATGATCATTTACAAGCTGAACAATGAAAACCTGGAAAATAGGAGTCTGTTTTATGACAGATGAATTTAGGTTTGAGTCGATAGCGAAGTTGATTTTTTTTCAAACTAACTTTATTTAAAATAATAAAATAAAATTCTGAATAATGCCAAGGGGTGTAACCATAAATTTTAAGATTCAAAGAAAAAAATAAGTTATATATTTTGATGTGGCTAGCTACAATGATTTATATTTTAGTGTATGACAGTTAAGTGAAATAATGGGCTTAAACTTGTGCAAATGCCCATGTTTTCGGTGGCTTTCTGTAACTTGGCACTGCCGCCCCCCATTGACGTTACTCAGCCTTGTTAACAAAGAACTCTCATTGGCAGAACTCTGCAGTTAGATCTTTTCATTGGTTGGGTAACTGAATGTTAATGAGGCCTCGTCTCTAGAGGGAGCTGCTTGGCAAACACTAAAGTATTGTGGGACATGGCTTGGCAGCACTTGTAAAAAAACACATTTTCCCAAGTGCTTGTTGGAGTGCGGTTTCAGTTTGAGAAACTTCAAAATCTGTACTTTCAGTAAAAGCATTTATTTTATATTTATACATTTCTATAATAATTTCTATATATATTATACGTACACGTTTACATTTACGTACACATTTATTTAATATTTATTAACTATATTATTAATTATATTGTTTTCTAACTGACTTAAGGCACTGCTGTCAGACACTGCAGCGACGAGAAAGGCTGGCTGCCCCCTGAACTCTTCAACTGTACCACCATCACATTCTCCCACCTCAAGAAACTGGTAGATCTAGATGTTTAAATCATGAACAATCACTGAAAAGTTAATATTGTTGTGGTCATCACGGAAACATTTCAAGTAACCTCTCATTCTCCCTTCCTCTTGTTCATATCCCACATCTTTTGGATCAGAATGAGGAGTTGCATCGTAATGAATCCACAATGGATGGGCAGAAATCAAAGGACATGGCTCGGATGTTACAGAATGCCACTGACCAGACCAAGAACTTTTATGGAAACGATGTTAAGACAACCTATCAGCTCATATCCTGGATCCTGCACTATGAGAGCCAACAGCAGGGCTTTAACCTGGCCGCCATGCGTGACGCCAAATTCAACGAGGTTGGTTTTACACTTTCATTTCTACTGTCAATATAATCTGCTTCAGTTTTAATACTTAAAAGTTATTAGTGTTTTTTTTCAGACTAGCATCACTGTTACTATTGCTCATACATACAGAAGGGTTAGATATCTGAGCAAAACACTAACCCAGCTATTAAACTCTACTCTTCCACACCATTCTTGCTTCACAAATTATACCTCAAATTATCCAACTTGTTGGAGAGACATCATTTTTCAAACGCTGTGTCTACACCGGACACATGCGGCATGTCGTGGCGTGATAAAATAAGGTCCCATTAAATTTAAAAGAGCTGTCTAGATTGGCAGTGCCCATTGTAGATGTCACAATATCCAAAATATCACAAAGGGGTTGGGCTTTTTTGACTTGTAACTGGTGCTTGCCAGGCACATTTTCTTCAGTAAATGTAATCTAGTTTGCACTCACATAGCAGCCACCTAGAACACCCTTTAGTTAAAAGTAAAAAAACAAAACACTTATAACACCTTAGCAACACTCTGAGCATTGTTACGTCAACTTTTGCACATACAAGCACTTTTACCATTGTTTATAGCTATACCAATAATGGGATGTTAGGAGCAATTTTCTCTTGGTCTCTTCTGTACTTGAGCTCTGGCAGCCCAAAATTGTGAGCTTTTAGCCTTGAGGTTTAGTGGATTAGTGTAAATAACACAGCATATAGTGACTGATGTCATGAGAATGAAAACGCCCACATTTAAAGCATATCTGGCAGCATGAACATACTTATCATGATACATGGTTTTAGGATAAGGATGCATTTTAAGACCGCATTCATTATGTCTCGTCTTGGCCCAGATTCAGACTTCTAAAGTCTCTCAAATGTCCAGATTTTTACCCTGAAGTACTTAATGTGTTTGAATTATGTAGAACATAGTGAAGGCTGGCAGTGCAATCCTGGATGCCAGTAATAAAGGGCACTGGGATCAGATACAGAGAACAGAGGGAGGTACGGCACATCTGTTGAAAAACTTTGAGGAATATGCCAACACTGTGGCGCAGAACATGAGGAAGACCTACCTGAAACCCTTCATCATCGTAACCGAGAATATGGGTGAGTTACATTGCTAAAATCGTTTAAAAATTAGAGTCAATTAGAAAGTAATGTAGATTGAACCAATTATTGAGTATATTGTTTTGAACACTATGCAGTTCTTTTTAACCTTAATCTTTCTTTGACTTCTCAGTTTTTGCAGTTGATTATCTGGATGCCATTTATCCAGATGAGGCAAAAATCCCTCGTTTTCAAATGACTGACCAGGAGTGTCCCAAAGACCTTAAGTCATCTATTATTTTCCCAGAATTCAGTTTCAAGTCTTCAGAGCATAAAGGTAAAACATATATTATAGTAACAAAAAGACACTGAATTGTGATTTACTTTAAAAAAAAGCTTCTGTAATAAATAAATATATATGAATAACGTTCTCTAGCAAAAGTGTTGCGTTCTCCCGAGAAACTTTGTGTTCACTCCATCACAACAGTTTAGTGAGCAAACGTTTATTGGGAGAATGCAAAAGTTTTGTGAGTAAACTAACACATCTCCAACGTGATCTCATGAGAATCCATATGTATTAAAATGTGGTTCTACAAAATGTACATTTACTTACGTTTGTATAGACACTGAAATGTACAATACTGATGCATTTACAGCATCTTAACGTGCAATACCAATGTATTGACAACCCCTATAACGTAAATTATTTACATATGAACAACTTTGCACACTTGCATATTAATTCTTATGAATATTGCAATCTCGGAATTAACATTTTTATTGTATTCATAACATGAAAGGAACAATTCATTCTGTTCTGTGTGATTTCTGCTGCCAACTCGTTTCGAAGAATACATACTGTTAAACGAGACTACACTTTAAACCCTTAAAATGAATAACATTTCTGCAATCGTTTAACCATTACATTTCATGTAATATTTACTTTGTTTACTATGGGACACAAAACGCATTTTCTCCGACGTGCTGTGACTGACAATATAACCATAAAATACACCAAAAAAACAACATAATTACAAAAAGAAACAATTTTATTAGTGCGCTGTAATCCAAATCTTCAGAATCCATACGACTGCGAGGAACAGTCCCAAACTCAAGCCTTTTTTTTCAGCGATCTTCATCTCCATCCTGAGCAGCGACCGTAAGCAGCAATACCCGCCCAGACGCATTGATACACGTATCTTAATGATATAAAAGATTCGAAAATATTTTACGGTTTTATGGCTGTAAAGTCAAAATGTCCAAAATATACGTTTTGTACTGGTAAATAGGGGTGGGTGATATGAGCTAAAATTCATATCACGATATTTTACACTGTCCAGGCAATATCGATATTATATTGCGATATGAGAAAAAAAAATTACAGGCAAAATAGTTTAACCTTATATAACTAGAAAAAGTGAGGGATTGGACAAAGACCTGAAAAGTATTTTTTTATTGTGCCATTGTTTTTCTCAAAAAGTGCAAACGTGCAACATGAGGTAGGCCTGTATGAATTAAAGTAAATTAAATTAATTATTGCATGTTTGAGTAGTTCAGTGGTTCCCAAACTTTTTCTGCCAGGCCCCCCTTTTGTAGAGAAAAATATTTTCAAGGCCCCCCACCCCCTCTTTTTTTTTTTAAATGCTCACCAAGGCTACATTTGTTTATTAAAAATGCAGTAAACACTGTAATATTGTAAAATGTTGTCAATTTAAATTATCTATTTGATCCTTCAGAAATCATTCTAATATGCTGATTTGCTGTTCAGTAACCATTTCTGTTTATTGTCAATGTTGTAAACATTTGTGCTGCTTAATATTTTTGAGGAAACCATTTTTTCACGATTCTCTTATGAATATTTGAAATTGTTCTTTGTGTGAGAGCGCTGGAGTTCGTCAGAAATAGAACGCGGCATCAGTTTACTGTCATGGATTTGTCATGTCGTGTCGCGCCGCATCCATAGCAGAGAACATCACTGGGTTCTATTTGCTTTTGTTAAATCGCGCCGCTCGCGTCTGGTGTAGACACATTGTTTTGGTATTTGTGAATCTTAAGTATATTCATATTCTGCTTTACGCTTACCTGGCACTGGAAGTCCTTTCACAAACTTGTAACGTTCATGCTTAGAGCAGAACCATGCATCGTTCATTTATATTTCTACATGTCTCCCTGCAATACAACTCTGATTCTTCAATCGCACCATCTAGTGGTCTGTTACTGATACAACCACAACTGCTACAACTGATAACGGAGCGCTCAAGCAGGTACTGCGAGTCATGTTGAGGTCATTAAAATATGTCAGATTAATATTTAGAGTTCAATTATTTACTTATCAGACAAGTGGCCGCATGATAAGTTGGAAAATTACGCAGTGTAGTCTTTATCACCCTGTAGAGGTTTCTTTTGCAAAATAATCTGCTGATTGTACACGATCCCTCAGTTTGGGAACCACTGGAGTAGACGATTTGTGCTCTATTAATTTGGTCTGTTACGATGCTATATGTGTTTGATTACTAATGCCTGTGTAGTACAGCGTTACACACAGAGGACAAAAACGTTCAGCCTCGACTCTTTATCGTCATTTGTGTTCAAATTTGCAAAGCGTACCAAATTGAACAAAACAATATAAATGCTAAATTTTAATTCATGAATATATAACGGTATCTACGGTATAGCAAAATCCATATCATTGAACAGCATAATACCGGTAGTCACTTTCATACCAGTATAGCGCCCACCTTTACTGGTAAACATTACGAACTAATACCAGCGTATGAACAATGAGACCAGGCTGACATCTCACACAGCGATTAACTAGGAAAAAAATGCTAATTCACGACAAAACTTTTGCCATAATAAGCATAGCAAACTACAAACCTGTTACTTTTTTCAGTAGTTTTGTAATAATATTCAGTCACATTCAGCATGTTAATAAATACTGCATTTTCCACATGAACTATCTTGTAATTCTCTTTCACGTGAATTCTCTGGTAGTTTCTCCTACAGATTATTCAGAATTTCACAGCAGCTCTAATGAAGAGCACGATCCGGCTACAAACAAGAGGAAAAGGCATACAGAGAGTCTGCCACCATTTCCTGTGGCTGCAGTAATCATCTATAAATCTCTGGGCCAGCTCCTACCAGAGCACTACGACCCCGACCGCCGCAGTCTCAGGTACAGAACGTCACTTTTTAGTACTTTTGTCCAGCTATAAAGCACTTGTCCAAATATTTAGTCTTGGTGGCATTCCACAGTCAAACACAGAACACTGTTGCCATGCTAAGAAGATCCATTTAGCATGTTATTGCTGCCTGTATTTTCCACAGGCTGCCAAACCGTCCGGTCATTAACACTCCTATCGTGAGCACGACTGTGTACAGTGAAGGCGAGCCATTGCACATTCCTCTGGAGCGACCAATCACACTGGACTACAACCTTCTGGAGACGGAGGAGAGAACAAAACCTGTGTGTGTGTTCTGGAACCACTCTATCACGTGAGTCACAACCCCTTCATACACATTCACAGGCATCTCCTAAATCAGTCCACATGTTTGTTTCAGTAAGTAGTATTTCGAATGTACAGGTGCATCTCAATAAATTAGAATGTCATGGAAAAGTTCATTTATTTCAGTAAATCAACTCAAATTGTGAAACTCGTGTATTAAATAAATTCAATGCACACAGACTGAAGTAGTTTAAGTCTTTGGTTCTTTTAATTGTGATGATTTTGGCTCACATTTAACAAAAACCCACCAATTCACTATCTCAACAAATTAGAATACTTCATAACACCAATTTACTGAAATAAATGAACTTTTTCATGACATTCTAATTTATTGAGATCCACCTGTAGATGATTAATGCCGGTCTGATATGTTTGTGTATGTCAGTGTTGGTGGCACAGGCGCCTGGTCATCTAAAGGATGTGACCTCATCTCCAGAAACCACACCCACATCAGCTGCCAGTGCAATCACATGACCAGCTTTGCCGTGCTTATGGACATTTCTAAGAGAGAGGTACTGTGGCTAAAATAACACCACCTGTCATCATTTACTCACCCTTACTTTTGTTCATCTTCGGAAAACACAATTAAAGATCATTTTAAAATGTTCTCATTATTTTTGTTCATACATTGAAAGGCTATGCAATTAACAAACCTTACTGAATGTCGTGCGTCAAGCAAAAAGGACGTTCGAGCTTCCGTTGACCATATTTGATGTGCTCTATGTATGTGCGTAGATCAATGCTTAAATGTGATAAAAGCCCAAATTAAATCGTTACATTATATAAAGTGATCATCTCTAATCTAAGACTTTGTTTAAACTGCTTGATTCATATGGATTACTTTTATGATCTCTTTAGGAACTTTTTTAAATGATGGTAATTTAGATTTTTGGGTGAACTATACCTTTAAATCATTTATGTATGTATGTACATATGTATTTGATTTTTCTGACATTCTTTTACTCTGTCAGCACGGTGATGTTCTTCCCCTGAAGATTGTCACCTACACCACAGTCTCCGCCTCTCTACTGGCGCTCCTCCTCACCTTCATCCTGCTGGCCATCCTGCACAAACTACGCTCTAACCTTCACAGCATCCACAAGAACCTGGTGGCTGCCTTGTTCTTCTCTGAGCTGGTCTTCCTTATCGGAATCAACCAGACTGACAATCCGGTGAGGGGCTCATGTTACTGTGAAACCAGCATGGGTTTAAAAGTGGAAATAGCAAAATAATGTAAAATGAAAGTTAGAAGGAACTCAAAAGACCTCCCATGAAGTTACAAGACTGGAATTATGGGTTTGATCTTTCATCAATTTAAATCACAAGTGAGCGTTTCAATCTCAAATGTGGTTTTGTGTCTTCTCATCGAGAGAGTCTCATGTTGTAGTTTCCCTTTCAGTGATATCCAGAATTTGAGAATTCCCATTCTCAAATTCCACTAATTACTTTCTTAAGTCTGTAATTAACAACTGCATATACTTGTGGACTGAGGTTACTTGGACAAATGACTGCGATTACTATTAGGTGGCTTTTATTTTGGGTATTTGTCATCCATTACTGAGTAGGGAAAAGCTTTAATAGTTTAAATGCATTTATATGTAGTTTGACACTTCTTCCTGTCTCCATTGTGCCATTGGCTGGGTGGCACTCTGGATTACATCAGATCACAGCTTTCTGTACTTAAGATTTTTATACAGATGCTGCAAATGCTTTATTAGCATGTGAAACAACACTGGACATAATGTATTTTGTTTTTATGAATGTTTGCTCCTTTAATGTTGAAATTACACATGTCCCAGCTGGTTTTCTCATGGAGGCATGCTGTGACTGGTGTCTGCTAGTACTAGGGGTTGGTTTAGATTTATACTGTCACACTTTCACATTATTTTAATAAATGTGAAGTCTGACTACATGTTGGACACACTGATTAAATCTAGCTCACTAAAGATGGCGTCTATATCTTTTCTGATCTTTCAATACTAAGTGGGCGAATTTCACACAACATTGTCAAGAACATGTCCAAGAATAAAAATGTAAAGCATCTGATATTTAGACTAAGAGGAAAAAAAGGTAGATGCTATTTACAGTAAGTGTAATGGAAACGATTTTCTTTCTTCTGCTGAACACAAAAGATGTTGTTTTGAAAAATGTTGGTAACCAAACAGTTTGAAATCCATAGTATTTTTTCTTCATACTGTGAAAGCAGATGACTACCAGCAACTGTTTGGTTTCCAACATTCTTAAAAAACATCCTTTGTGTTCAACAGAAGAAAGAAACTCATACAAGTCTGGAAAAACTTGAGGGTGAGTAAATAATGACAGAGTTTTAATTTTTGAGTGAACTATCCCTTTAAATGGTTTAATTTTAAATGTATACATCATGGGAGTGTTTGTTATGCTGCCTTTCAATTCAATTCATTCATTCAAAATATTTTAATGTTCATTATTTACTTCTATTTTTTTTGCTATTATACTTTTTCAAAATATACTGTATTACAGTAATAATAAAATTAATTTAAATAAAAAAAGCAAAACATCTCGGTTACGTATGTAACCCTCATTCCCTGAAGGAGGGAACGGAGACGTCACGTCAGTAATGACCGATGAATTGGGATCTCGCTTAGAGAGATCAATCCACTTCGAGTGTAAACTAAATGAGCCAATGCACATTGGCATGCGATAATTGCAATCAAGTGGACGATATCGCTGGAAATTAAGTGTCCGCAACTAAGTAAACCAGAGGAGACAGCGGCAAGGAACCAAAACTCCATTGGTGACAGAATGGAGAAAAAACCTTGGGAGAAACCAGGCTCAGTCGGGAGGCCAGCTGTCCTTTGGCCAGACGAAATCAGCAGTTCAATTCCAGGCTGCAGCAAAGTCACATTGTGCAGACGACTCAACTGGTTCCTGTGGTCTTGTCCTGGTGGCCATCTAGGAGACAAGGTCCTCACTGGGGATCTGTCTCTGGGGCTCATCTAGTTGTCCTGATCTCCACTGACATTCAGGGCTGTAGAGGTCCTCTCTAGGTGCTGATTCACCATCTGGGCTGGATACGTACTAGATCCGGGTGACTGCAGTGACCATCTGATCTGGAAACAGACTGGATCTGGTGGCTACGGTGACCTCGGAATAAGAAAGAAACAGGCTAATATTAGCGTAGATGCCATTCTTCTAACGATGTAGCAAGTACATCGAGTGTTATGGGAAGTGTTCCCAGTTCTGGTTGTCCTAATTAATGCAGCCTAAAAATCCTTTAACGGATTTGAATATTAGAAATGTGTTAGTGTGTTATGTGTAAGCCAGGCTAAAGAGATGGGTCTTTAATCTAGAGTGTGTCTGCCTCCCGAACAATGTTAGGTAGGTTATTCCAGAGTTTGGGCGCTAAATAGGTGAAGGATCTGCCGCCCACAGTTGATTTTGATATTCTAGATATTATCAAATTGCCAGAGTTTTGAGAACGCAGTGAACGTGGAGGACTATAATGAAATAAGAGCTTGTTCAAATAATGAGGTGCTAAACCATTCAGGGCTTTATAAGTAATAAGCAAGATTTTAAAATATATACAATGTTTAATAGGGAGCCAGTGCAGTGTTGACAGAACCGGGCTAATATGGTCATACTTCCTGGTTCTAGTAAGAACTCTAGCTGCTGCATTTTGGACCAATTTGAACTCTTGCTCTTCCGCTTGCCACCAGGTTTGGAGGGGGCCTGGACGGGTGGGGTAGCTGCCCTGCGACTGGCTCCACGGTGCTGCTTTGCTGGAGGCTGCTGCGTTTGCTGCGCGGGAGCCGGGGGCGGCAGCAGGGGATCGCCCTCGGCAACTGATGCACTGTCGCCGGCGGCCGGGTGGAGGCAGCAGGATGTGTTTGATGGCCTCGGTCTGCTTCTGTGTGGCGGAGAACTGCTGGGCGAAGTTCTCCACTGTGTCGCCGTCTGGGATACGGGGGCATTTAAGAACCGAGTCTTGAGTCTTCGAAGTGCTAGTGGAAGGAGGAGCCCTCGGAGGTTGGTTCCTCAGAGGGGAATTCCTCACCGTCACCATAAGACCAGTCCGGCTATTGCCAGAAGTAGCGCCACTCCTCTGGCTTTTGCCAGGGGGAACACTAGATCTAGGCAGAGCCATGGGAACCCTGCCCATTTGCAGGAAACGGAGCCTGGTCCGCAACTCAGCGACGGTCATTTTCCCGCAATGAGAGCATGATTCGTCCACAAACGCCGCCTCAGTGTGCTTAACGCCCAGACACGTGTGGCAGCGATCGTGACCATCACCCGGCACCAGGTAACGACCTCATCCAGAAACGCACGGGTGGAAAGGCATCTTTAAACAGCCCGTGAAGGCTTTTTTAGAGATTGCTCTTTTAATGTGCTTAAGTGCACAGGGGAAATGGCCGCCTGCAACACAAACAGGGGATAGTGCAGCCTGATGTGTGCAACCCACTCGACATGGGAAGAACCACCGCTGCTGAAGCGCCATACCACCAACACCAGAGCTTCCCAAGAGTGTGCTGAACTGGTTGTAGTCTTCACTCTGTAGCAGAGAAGTCAGGAGCAGAACGATATAACCGCTCAGCTCCGAAGCGAAAAGCTGAGTATGCGTTGCACCTGCTGCCTAGTTATATTCGCGCTGCGATCAGCGGCAGCTGGATGCAATCATCGCATGCCAATGTGCATTGGCTCATTTAGTTTACACTCGAAGTGGATTGATCTCTCTAAGCGAGATCCCAATTTGTCGGTCATTACTGACATGACGTCTCCGTTCCCTCCTTCAGGGAACGAGGGTTACATACGTAACCGAGACGTTTTGATTTTTTTTGTTTTTAATTTTTTTATTATTTCTGTAATACAGTATATTTTGAAAAAGTATAATAGCAAAAAAACATAGACGTAAATAATGAACATTTAAAAATTTTGAATTAATATTAATAATCATCAATTAATAATGAATTAATGAATGAATTGAATTGAAAGGCAGCATAACAAACACTCCCATGATGTATACATTTAAAATTAAACCATTTAAAGGGATAGTTCACCCAAAAATGAAAACTCTGTCATTATTTACTCACCCTCAAGTTTTTCCAGACTTGTATGAGTTTCTTTCTTCTGTTGAACACAAAAGATCCCAATTCATCGGTCATTACCGACGTGGTGTAGAGAGTGACCGAATGAAGGGGAACTAAAACTAATCTAAATCTAAAAATGTATTACAATGAGAATATGCTCTGTAAATGTTCTTAATTGGCATGAAAGTAGTCACAAGTGGAAATCGTCTCAGGTTACTTATGTAACCATGGTTCCCTGAGTAGGGAACGAGACACTGCGTCCTCTAGGGGTCGCTATGGGGAATGCCTCGTCGTGACCCGTGTCTGAAGCATACATTGAAAAAACACCAACTCGTTGGCCGGCGACAGCCATGACGTCACTACCGGTGTGACTACAGTATAAATCGGCGCCGGGAGCTACACATAATTCACTTCTTCGTCTGAAGCTTGCGTCCGCAGCATTATAACCCAGACATGTTTTAATGAGATTTGGTAGAATGTTTGTGTTGAATGCTAACCATATTTCTATCTCTTTCTAGTTTGTGTGCACAGTGATAGCCATCCTTCTTCACTACTTCTACATGTGCACGTTCGCCTGGACATTTGTGGAGGGTTTGCACATTTACCGTATGCTCACTGAAGTCAGAAACATCAACCATGGCCACATGCGCTTCTACTACGCCATTGGCTGGGGGATACCTGCTATTATTACAGGTCAGACACACACACAAACCCTCTCCAGTTTATTCACTAATTACTATTTCATGTACTTACATTTCACCCAACCCAGCGTCTTTGCAGGTTCGTATTTGTATGCTCATGTACTTAGCGTAACTCCACTGAGTCAACACAGATACACAACTTCATCTGATGAATTTCCCTAATAGACTATTAGAAATGTTTGTAAACCAGCACACACATGCATTTATGTCGTCGTGCTTGGACTTGCCCCTTCTTTTGGATGGTGTGTGTGATCCCTGTGGGAACAAGACAGGACGCCAGTGTCTTCATATTACTAGCTCTCGCTCTCTTGCTCACTCTTCTTACTTTCTTTCTCTGTTTTCTCTCCGATGGCTCTGCTCTCCATAATGGGTGTCACTTTCTCCACTGGCACATGCTCAAAGCGGTGAAAAAGCCCCTATCTTACAGATAATAGAGGCTGACCCGACTCCTCTTTGCTCCTCCCAGCTTAATGAATGGCTGTCTGCTTTCTTTACTCCATTCTATAATTCATTGCTCATACTATGGGTTTGGGGTTTTAACAAACTTCAGTGTGTAATTCATCCTGCTCTGTTCTGCTTAAAGAGGAGATATACTGTATGCTTATGCTTTTCTGAGTGATCACACTAATCACATCTATCAATCACACAGTAATGGTAATTACCACTTAAAACACCTTAGCAACCACCTAGAATATCATAACAAATCCCTAGCAACCACTCAGATCAAAACAGCAACAGTGTCAAAAAAAATTCGGAACCTATGTAACCACCTAGCAAGGCCCTAGCAACCACCCAGAACATCCTAGAATCCACATAGAAATATCTTAAAATAGCTCTGAACAACCACATAGCAACACAATAACAAACACTCACAACACCTTAGTAACTACATGGCAAAGCTGTAGCAACCAATCAGCAACATGCTATAAAACCTTAGCAACACCCTAGCAACCATACTGAACACTGTCACTTAGAAGGATTTTTAAAAAACACTCCTACCAACTTAGCAACCACATTGCAACAACCTAAAACACTAAAAACACCCTAGTAACTGCATAACAAAGCCACATCAACCACCCAGAAAACCTTAGCAACCACGTAGAATATCCTAGCAAAGCCCTAGCAACCCAAGTCATCCACACAGAAATGTTTTAAAAACTGTTCTTATGTAGCAACCACATAACAAGGTAAAAACACTCCTGCTGCATCCCAATTCGCATACTATCCATCCTAAATATTATTCGAAATTAGAATTAGCATGTCCCAAATCGTAGTATGTTGAAATTAATATTCCAATGGTACCTGGATGATTTACTATTTCCAGTAGAAATTTGAAGTGCCGATCCATGAACACTTTAACGGCATATATTGCCCATAACCCATTGTGCGTTGGACGAGGATTCGATTAGAACTACAAACATGGGGGGAACATGTTAAAAAACTACAAACATGGCAGATATGTGAGACCTACAGACAGGTAGAGAAAGGGGTTTGAGTAATAAATCAATATCTAACCTGAGCAAAGTGGAGCCGCGTCCCGCCCATAGGTCCCGCCCACATTCCCTCAGAGTCGATCACAAACACACGTCCCTTACCGTTTTTTAATTAGCCTGACTGCTCCAATTTTTGTCTGCTGATTGCTGTACAAGAGGCTTGTTAAAATAACAATATCTTCCTGAATATCCCAAAAAAGTCAGTTGGCACCTCAGTTCTCTCAGAGAAGCTGTCAATGTCAGCTGTCAATCATGACGTTACACTCCTGTTTTTATACCATTACATAACTAACTAAAACCAAACTTATTTTAAAAAAGAACACTTGAACTTACATCAGTGCGATTTAAAAACTACATAAAATGACAACCATCTTTGGAAAAAAATTATTTGAAGTGCAATTTAATTATTTAGTTTGTCTCACATCCCATTAGACTGCATGGAGAGGACGGGGTTTATGACCTATACTGGGTCCAGCCACCTGGGGGCGATCGAAACATTTTGGCTTAATTTTTCAGCAGACAGTGTTGCCAGATTGGGCGGGTTCCCGCCCAATTGGGCGGTTTTGAATTTGATTGTGCAGGTAAAAATTGGCTTGGGCGGGTGAACAAAATTTGGGCTGGTTTGGGGTCAGTTTGGCGGTTTTCAATATAAATTGTATAGGCTAATTCTTTAACAAAACAAGCCCAAGTATGTATACTGCATCCAATCAGTCATCATAACGTTACACACACACACACACACACACACACACACACTGCAGAGGCGCTGGTGCTGATGTAAACGTCGACAGCCGCACTTATCACGAGGGCTCAGCAGACAGACGTTATGATTCATGAGTGACAAGTTTTTAGCGAGATAATTTATAACGTATCTGATTTTGAATGTAGTATGACTGTATATTCAAGTAATCACAATGCCTAAATATAAGTTAAAGAGTGGGAGAGTGACTCAACTCTAAATTAATTAATTATTGAGTGAGACTACACGAAGGCTCTATCACTGCAACTCCGAAATCAGAGCACATTTGAATTAATTAATCAAAACCGAAACTAAATATGTCGATTTATACGATCATGTCTTTTATCTTTTAAATGTCCAGATTGATAAATCCTTGAAAACTGCTAGACTTGATTAGTTTTGACTGTGCAAAGTTCTGTTTTATGATCTGCAATATGAACTTAACAAGAGGCTTCCTCTAGTTCTGTGTAAAATTATAGAGCGACACGAAGGTAAGTGCATTATTGTTGTTGTTATTTTTTTTAATTGTCGGATTATAATTAAGGACACAGTTTTGAGTTGACTGTCATGGTGTGCGCATGAACGAGTGTGAAATACCTGCTAATTACTTGCTTTTTCCTATCACTTATGTTGGGCACTTTTTGCATTTAAACTGGATTATTCTGACTGCTGACAGATGTTCTCTTTAATGTAGGCTATTCGCCCCGATTTGATCCGTTTACCTGCAAAATTTATCTTATTTATAATTTATATTAGCCTATTTTGTCGTCAATATTTTGTTTTAAGGAGTTAAAATGGCCCTTATCAACCTTGATTTACATATTCTATAACATTATTTTGACAGTTAAAGTTTTGGGCGGGTTTTTGTGAGCTTTTGGGCTGGAAATCGTCCATCCAATCTGGCAACACTGACAGCAGACTTGGTCAGAACACCTTAGCAACCAGCTACAGTAGCAACGCAGTAGCAGTGTTAAAAACAACTCCAAACAACCTCAACAGCATAGCAACAAGTTATAAACACTCTGATCACATTGGCAACCGCTAAGCAACTCCCCAATAATTACTCAGAACAACCGAACAAGTACTGTATATAACAATGCCCTTGCAACCACCTACAACAGCATGTTTTCTGAAGATGATGTAAAAGTCATGTTGATGTTTGTGTCCATCAGGTTTGGCTGTGGGTTTGGATCCTCAGGGATATGGGAACCCTGACTTCTGCTGGCTGTCCGTCCATGACACCCTCATCTGGAGTTTTGCGGGACCCATCGCTGTAGTGGTGCTGGTAAATCCATCTACTTATCATTTGTTCTTCATTCTAACTGTTCTCATTCCATTCTCCATACTCAGCTGATCAAATGCCAAAAACAATCTCTTTAACAGGTCAACATTATTATCTTTGTGCTGGCGGCGAAGGCGTCGTGTGGCCGTAGGCAACGTTCCTATGAGAAGTCTGGAGTCATGTAAGACATTCTGTCCCTTGGGAGCATTTTCTGAGGATTGATTCATGAAATCTGGTACTCATTGTGGTTTTTTGCATGTGTTCCAGTCCTGCTCTGCGGATGGCCTTTCTGCTACTGTTGCTCATTAGTGCCACCTGGCTGCTGGGTTTAATGGCTGTTAACAATGATGTCATGACCTTCCACTACCTGTTTGCCATCTTCAGCTGTCTGCAGGTAACAGTTTTACTATTCTTGACCTCAATTTTTCCAAAAACAGACAAATAAGGCAAGCATCACTATAACTATTGCTCAAGAGTAAGGCTTGATACATGCAAAAGCACAAAACAACCTGTGTGTGTGTGTTCTTGTGTACGGAAATCTTGCAGACTGCAGTGCAGATGCAGGATGCTTAATACATCAACAGGTGTTCTGTAATTGAAACTAAGTTCTGTAATTGAAATTAAGCTGAAATAAAATAAAATATAAATATTAGATGAAAAACTTAAACTTAGAAAACTTGGAAATGAAAAATATTGCCTCAGCAACTTCACTAAAGTGCGTCAAATGCCATTATTTTTTTATTGAACAAATCACATTTTGAATAGATTTTTTGACGGTTAGGAGGAACTGATTGGTGGAAGATAATTACACTGGTTTAAAAGAGAGATTTCATAATATATTAAAATAGAAAACAGTTATTTGAAATGGTATTAAAGGTCACATATTTCACACCTTTCTGTAGTTTTAGTTTAGGTATTGATGTCCTTAAGAATATATATTTGCGGTATAAGTA